GGTAGATTTGAACCAGTAGTGGGCTAGCTCCCTCCCAGAGAGTCAGAGGCCAAGGACACAGTGGTCACTCACGCAACTGGCTGCTGCCCATGCCCTTGAGTACGGCCTGCCGCCCAGTGCCTTCCAGGAGCGCCTGCACCTCCTGGCTGGGCAGAGTGGTCTGCACCAAGACCATCTGGTTCTCCAACTGTACCTCCATACCCTGGATACCTGGGAGGAGACAGAGGGCAGAAGACAGCAGAGGAATGGCATCTGTGCTCACAGCAGGAAGGAGACAGACATCCTTAATGTCACCAACCTTCCCATGTTCAGAAGTCAGTGTGGAGGCTTTCTTCTAGCTGGGTGAACTTGAAGAAGCTTTCTGTGAGTACTTTCTACATACTAGGTATTATTTATAACTTTTGAAACAGAAAATTCTTCTTCAAATATTTTTATAAAAGTGGGCTATCCAGGTGAATTCACAATAGCTAAACTGTGGAACCAACTTAGATACTCATCAATAGCTGAATGGATAAAGAGACTGTGGAATATTGCTCAGCATTAAAAGAAAATAAAATTGTGGCATTTGCAGGTAAATGGATGGAGCTGGAGAATATTATGCTAAGTAAGCCAATCCCCAAAAACTAAAGGTCGAATGTTTTCTGATTAGTGGATGTTGATCTATGATGGTGTTGGGGGGGGGCATGGGAAGAATGAAGGATCTTTGGATTGGGGAAAGGGGAGGATAGGTAGGGGTTATGAGGGTAGAAAAGATAGTGGAATGAGATGGACATCATTACTCTAGGTACATGTATGATTGCACAAATGGTACATCTCTACACTGTGTACAACCAAAGAAATGAAATGTTGCGCTCCACTTGTATATGATCAATTGAAATGCATTCTGCTTCATGGAAAACTAAGTACAACAACAACAACAAAATATATATATATATAGTGGGCTATCTATAGCAGCATTATTTGTGACAGCAAAAAGGTGAAAACAACCCAAATACCATCAACTGACAAAAGGATAAACACAAACAATATCCATGCAATGTGGGATATTAGCTATAAGAAGAAATGGAGTCTGGATACCTGATACAACATGCCTGAGCCTCCAAACATTTTGCTATGTCAAAGCCAGTCTCAAAAGACCACATGTTATATAAGCCTTTTTTTTTTTTTTTTTTTTGGTACTGGAAAGTGAATACACGGGGTACTTTACTACTGAGCTACATCCCCAGTCATCTATCTGTGTGTCTCCTTCACCACCAGGGATTAAACCCAGGAGTATTTAACCACTGAGCCATATCCCCAGTCCTTTTTTTATATTTGAGACAGGGCCTCCCTAAGTTGTCRAGGCTGGCCTTGAACTTGTGATTCTCCTGCCTCAGCTTCCCAGGTGCCTGGGATTATAGGCATGTGCCACCATGCCCAGCCTATGATGCTATTTATATGAAATGTCCAGAATAGTAGACAGAAAAGTTAAGGATCAGGGTTGGTAAACAAGAAGTTGATACAGGATTAAAGTTAAAGGATACAGGATTTCTTGTATAAAATCATGAAAAAGTAAAATTGATAGTGATAGCTGCACAAYTCTGCGAATATACTGATTGAATTGTACACTTTAGATAGGTAAGCCAGTTACATGCATTATAAAGGGGGGCTTATCACCACTATCTTGAGAGCCATGTCAACTGAGCAGGTACCATGGGCCAGATCCTCCTTGATGATTTTACCAGTATTGACTCATTTGATACCTAGAGTAACCCTGTGAATTAGGTGCTATTATTCCTATTTTCAGGTAAGGACACTAAGGCACAGAGAGATGAAGAAACTTGCTTGAAGTCACACTGTGGTAAGTTATGGAACTGGGAATCCCAGGCAGCCTTGCTCCAGAGTGCAGGCACTTAATCCAGATACTTGGCTCACTCCAAGAAACAGCCGGTCACCTCCAGGCTGGGCTGAGCCCTTACATACCTGTCCTACAGCAGTTCATACTTCCCCTGAGAAACTCACTCTGCAATGATTATAATCCTCTGTTTTATTCTCTAGGCTGCTAGCTCTGTGAGGGCAGAAGCTCTGTGTGGATCACAGGGGTCAAGTTCAAAAGTCAATGTGTCAGAAAAAGAGCCTATGGAGTCCTCATTGCCCTTGAAGTCCCTGCAATTGTCCTGTATACATAAGTCTGCAGAAGGATTCTTATATACTCATGAAGAGAGCCTCAAGTAACTAATGCATATTATCTAGTTATGACTTTTAAAAAATCACCTTGACTTTAACAAGGAAAAAGTACTGGAGGGGAAATAGAGGCAATAGGGAGCTCAAAGCTGGCTTCTTGTATAGGCCAGGGAAAGGTGAGGGGGGCTTGCGTTAGTACACAGGCCCAAGTGTGTTTTGAACAAACAGCAGATAAAGGCCTGGCCTAGACGTGTTTCCAGACCCTGGGGTCTTCCAAGAAGAGCTGATTCTCTGCTTCTAAAGCTCCTATAGCTATGTCCCTTTTTAATTTCTGACCCAAGTCTGCACCAGAAGTTTCATTATCCAGCCAAGCAGAAGTTCGCTTTGGCTGGTGAACCTCGGAATGTGGCTAGGCCAGGCTTTGGTTAGCCCAGGGCCTAGAAGGAAAAAAGAGAGACCATAGGAACTCCAGACCAAGTGATAGGAGCTCAAGGAGTTGAGCCCTGAGCTAGAAGTTCCTTAGACTCACCCCTGTGGGAAGAGCAAAGCGCTCCTTCCCAAGGCCAAGCAACATTCCTCTCTCTCTGTATTCTGCAGACTGTGATTCCCCTGCCCAGGCCATGAGAAACCCAAGCTGGTTGAAGTTACCCAGACCAGAAAACACAGGGTCACCAGATGTCTCTTTCTGGTACCTAAAAAAACCTGCTGAGGGCCGAACACAGCCCTCTATCTAACAAAAACTCCAGCTGTCTGCTTTCCCAGCAGGAATGTTTTATAGGAAATGGAGGGCACTGTGTCCTGGAAAAGCCATGCTCAGACACTCTGCTCTGAGTAGAAAGGCTCAATTTCCATCAGACCCTCACCTGACATCCCAAAAAAGGAACCTAAGCAAACTCATCTTCAAGATCTGCCCTGTAGGGGTTGAGGATGTAGCTCAGTGGTAAAGCACTTGCCTAGCATGCATGAGGCCCTGGGTTTGATCCCAGCACTTTGCAAAAACAAACAAAATCTGTTCCCTCACACCTCCCTCCAAGCAGATCACCACCTGTAAGCCCTTCCTCTAATAATCCCCTGAGATTTTCTGGGCTCTTACTACCTGGCCAAGACTTTGCTAAAGTACTTTATAGGTATTAGCTAATTTATTCTTTATAATGATCCTTCAGGGTAACTTCTGCTATCATCCCCATTTAAACACTGCAGAAATGTAGACACAAAAAGTCACATGTATGAAGTCTCCAGTAAGTGGCAAATAAGGGATTTGAACCTGAACAGCTCTGATTCTGGAGTGCACCCTGCTAACTACAACACTGCCAACCTAGGCAGGATGCAGGGCTACCATTTTCCTGGCTTCAGAACCTACTTCATCTCCTTCTCTCTCAGAACCATTTTTCCTGTTCTGTAAATGCCACCTGAGCAAGGCTTACATGCTCATCTTTACCAAAGCACAGTGGTGACCTTTCTCTCTAAAAGCCTCCCAGTGTCTGTCCCATACCTACAGAATGGCTGGAAGAACATTTAACAGAATCAAAGGAAGCCAGTTCCCAGGGACATGCYAGTGGCTCTGCCTTCAAATCTTTCTGATTGTGCCAAGTCAATTCCAGACCGGCTGACTTTTAAAAAATGCACCAGGGCCAAGGTTGCAGTTTGCTTTGTCAGGACTGTTGACTAAGCAAGAACAGCCTGAGCTTCAGGGAACTCCCTCAGTAGGAGGAGCTGTACTCTGACTAGCTCCTCACTCCAGGAAATGGGAGGCTCTGGCAGTATAAACTCCAGACCTGWATGCTAGGCTCAGCCTCTGGGTCTCCGTGTGCCTAAGAATATTCCTTTCACCCTCTGGGTATCCATTTCTTCATCTGTAAAATGGAAGTAGGGCTGGACTAACACACTAGCCTGGTTCTTCCCAAGGGACCAGAAAGGTTTATCCAGCTCTTACCTGCCACCCCTTGCAGGGACTTGCGCACCGCGTCCACACAGCTCTGGCAGGTCATCTGTACCGCGAACTCCAACTGCAAGGGACGCAGAGACCGGCCGATGAGGACTGGGGACCTATTATCTAGCCTGACCATATTTCACCACCTGACCTACACTGTAATCACTCCACGACCTGGAAACATGCCTCACGTGACCCTTCTTCAAGTCTTTTTTTTTTTTTTTTTGGCGGGGGGGGGGGTCCTGGAGATTGAACCCAGGGACGCTTAACCACTGAGTTACATTCCCAACCCACTTTTTAATTTTTTTTTAATCTCGAGACAAGATCCAGCTTAGCTGCTGGGGCTGGCCTTGAACTTGCGATCCTCCCGTCTCTGCCTCCGACTCGCTGGGATTACAGGCGTGCACCCAAGCCCGGCTAAAGCCCCTTCTTCGTCGCCCCTCCTGATCATTCTAGGACCCTGGTTTCACCCAGCAACGCTCAAGCCAGGGGCCTTGCTACCCTCGCGTTCAGTGGTCACAGTCGCCGCCCCAAATGCCAGCTCCTTTCGGGCTTCCCAAGATAACGATCACCCCAGGGGCTGAGGCTGTGCCGGGCGAGGATCCACTCGAAGCTCCGCTCTCACCGTGCACAGGGTCCCACTGTCCCCGGAGTCCGAAGCCATCCTGGTCCTGCTCACACCACCTGGCGGATCGCAACCACTCAAGTCCACAGGCCAACTCCGCGCAGCGCCGCGAGGGACGGAGCCCCGGGGAACCACACTTTGCCCCGCCTCCTGGCGCGTGCGCACGCTTGGGCCTGGCCCGACGACTCCGGAGCGGCGGGCACTGGCTACGCAGGCGCACTCGGGCCTTCGGGCCCTGGTTACCTTAGTAACCATTTGGCGTCCTCTGCACGGACCGAGGGCTMCGCCTGCGCTAAGATGGAGCCCCCGAAGGTAGAGTCCGAGTTACAGCAGTTTTATCACCAGTTGCTGAGCCCGCTGTCACTCTTACCCCGCAGGGTGACGCCCCCAGAGCCTCAGAAGCGCAGCCCGCAGGTCTCGAGAGTGCAAACCGTGTCTCTGGCAAAGCTGAGGGTGGCGCCGCTGTGCCGCCAGGTGGCCAAGCTGCTGGCCAACAGCGGGCTGGCGTCCTGGGTGCCTTCTGAAGGCCGACTCCGTCTCACCAAGGTCATCCTGGACGAACTAAAGTGCAGCTGGCGGGAGCCTCCTGCTGAACCTAGTCTGAGCTACGAGAACAACCAGAAGCTGAGGAAGCGACTCGAGACTTACGTGCTGCTCAGCTGTGAGCAGCTCTTTTTACGCTACCTGCACCTGCTGGTGACTATGTCGACCATGTCGAAGGTCTTCACTGAATCAGCCACCCTCACCCGGTTGGCTGCCAGCCTTGCCAGTGATTGCACAATCTTCCTTACCAGTCCCGACGTCTACCGTTGCCTGCTCGCGGATTTCCAAACCCTTCTGAAGGCAGAGCACACCCACAGCAGCATGGACAAGCGGCGCCCACCCTGCCCCATTGGGCCTTTCAAACTGTGCCCGATCCCCTGGCCTCACAGCACCGGCTTCGCGGAAGTGCCATGCTCTAGCCTCAACCTGAACTACCTTGTCCAACTCAGCCGCTCACAGGAGTTTTTTACTGAGCCTGAATTGGATCCAGTGAAGGAATTGAAGTCCATCCCTCAGTTGAAGAGTAGAAAGCCTCTCCGCTGGCTGCCTACTGTAAGAAAAGAGAAAGAAATCGACTTCAGTTCTAAACAGATGGTGTCAATTCCCAGCCACTCTGTGACTCCCACCAGTAGAGGTTCCCTCCCCCATTCTTTACCTGTCCTTTCCCAGCCACAGAGAAGCCAATCCATGCCTTGTCTTCGTGAAGACTGGAAGCTGGCAGATAAATTGGGTCTTTCTACACTCCCTTCTCGTTCCTTTACCGCTCTGGTCTTGGCTCCAGGAGAAAGCAAACCAAAGCTGACTAGGGACATTGTGGCTTCGGATCTGAAGCAGATGATAAAGAACATGAAGTTGGAGTGGACTCACTACTCAGCATTGGACTCTGGCTTGCCCCCACTCCTGGGGGTTGTGACCTACCACCCAGCTGCCAGGCATCACCTGGAGGAGCTGCAGAGAATGTTAAAGAGCTTCCAGGAAAGAGAAGCCTTTGGACAGTGGGACCACCTGCACCTCAAATCCCCTCCACTTTATCCACAGCCAGTGACTACTACTTTGAAGTTGAAAAATAAAGTCGTGGTCCAGGCAGCAGCTGTGCGACTTTCTGATAGAAACTTTTTGGACTCTTTCCATGTTGAGGGGGCCAGAGTCTTGTACAACCACCTGGCTGGTGAATTGGACTCCAAAGTTATAGACGAAATGGATATGGAGCGCCTCATTGGCAGTAGCACCAAGGAGGTCTATGAAGAGTTGATGAGCCGTGTCTCTACTGACCATTTCTGTTTTGACCAAGGACCTCTGGTTGAACCTGCAGCAGATAAAGACTGGTCAGCCTTCCTGTCCTCAGCCTTTCTGCGCCATGAAAAACAATTTCAAATAGTCAACCCTGATCTGACTGGACTTTATCAGAGAACAAATGTTTTGCAGTCGGACGCTGAGAGGATGCCTTCTCCCCCACCACCCCAACCAAGCAAAGGCTGGGAAAAGCGGTCAAAGAAGCTCTCCTGGCTGACCTGGTGGAAAAGCACCCTGTCTGTGGATGACTACTTCAAGTACCTCACCAACCAGGAGACAGATTTCCTCCATGTCATCTTCCAGATGTTTGAAGAGGAGGCACCTGTGGAGGTTCCAGTATGCATCAAAGAGTCCCCAATTATTCAGCGGCCCCCTCCCTTGTTAGAGGATGAAGAGYCAGACTTTGTGCCAGGAGAGTGGGATTGGAACACAGTGCTGGAGAACAGACTGGAAGGTGATAAGAACCAGATCCTGAGCCTGCAGAAGCGTCTAGAACGACTGTGGTCTGTTCTCGAGGTCCCTCACAACGTCCGGCTGGACATGGCCATCAAGTACAGCTCCAAAGCCCGTCTGAGGCAGCTGCCCTCATTAGTAAGGGCCTGGGAACGGGCCTTGAAGCCCATTCAGCTGCGGGAGGTATTGCTGGCGAGACTAGAGTGGTTTGAACAGCAAGCCTCTGACCCCAACCGCTTCTTCCAAAAGTCTGAATTGGGCCTGAGTCATCTCCTGCAGGAAAATCAGTTACGCAGCTATTTCCACAGGAAGCTCAATCAAATTGAGGCTTCTTTGGTTTCCCTCCTGAAGGAGATTGAATTAATCTTTGGTGAACCAGTGACCTTCAAGGGACAGCGCTACCTAGACAAGATGAAATGGGACAAAGTGGAGATGCTCTACTGGCTCCAACAGCAGCGGCGGGTTCACTACCTGGGCCAGGACAAAAAGGCCTCCCAGCAATCAGCCCGGTTCAAAAGGCATAACAGCCAGTCTTTACTAGTTCCTGGGAACACGCCCAATACCCTTTAACCACACCAAGCATCCTCAAATCTCTCCCTCATCTCCAAACACTCAGCAGCTCATCCAGACCTCTTGATGGCTTTGGAAAAAGAAATGTGGGTATCTCTAACTGGGGGTGCAGGTCTCAGGAGCATTGCACTTCGAACTACAAAGGACTGAGATTTATTTAGTCTTTGGAAGTGAAGTTCTCACAAAAGAATTCCCAAGTCCAGTATTCCCATTTATGTCARCAGCCTGGTAGAATATAACCAAAACTTCTTATCAAAAGAACTGAGACTGTCCCTTACAAAACATCAGACAGACAAACCATAATCTTTGGAACATTCTTGTCCTTTAGCATTTCTATCTTAGAAATAAATTGGATGATCAGAGCCCTAATTAATGGCATAACAGTGAAGAACTAGGGCTCAGGAGTCAGAWATGGATTTAAATCCTGGCATGTGATCTTAGGCAAGTTACCTAACTTCTCTGCCCTTGGATCATCATGTCAAATGAAGGAGTTAAGTTCAGGTTACCCCTTCCAGTTTTTGCATTTTATTGGTAGGGCTCAAAGTTTTAATTAAATTTTTACCAGCTAATACAAGCATCTGGTACAAAGTATATCAGGGTGTGAACTGAAACGTAAATCTCACTCCCATGGCTCCTTTGGATCCCTGCTTTCCTCTCTGGTGTAACAACTGTTACCAGTTTCTCATATTTAGGAAATATTTACTGAGCATCATTTAGGTGTTAGATGCTTGGTCTACATCAGTGAACAAAACACAGACCATTACAACCTTTGTAGAGTTTATATCCAGTTAGGAGAAAACAGACAATAAGCCATAAACATGGCACCTAAGCACATTGAATAACGGAACATTTGAAGGTGATGAGCATTATGGAGAAGAGAGTAGGGTAAGAGGAATTCTAGAGGATGGTGGGCTAGTTTTAATTACAGTGGCCCGGTACAGGCCTCACTGGGAAGGTAAGACTTGAGCAAAATCTTGAAAGAGGTGAAAAGTGAGCCCTGTGGACATTCAGGAGGAGAACTTTCCTAACAGCTGTGGCAGACCCAAAATAGGCCATGCCTAGGGTATTCTGGCCACAGCAAGGTGGTCGGGGGCTGCAGAGTGAGGGGGAGAGACAAGTCCAAGGGTCATGACAAGGTGTCATTGGGCAAATTAGAAGTGGTAAGGCCTTTAGATCACATATGAACTATTTCAGAGATAGCCTGTGCATATATGAGCTTATTTGTACACATCTTTGCAATTTGTAACTACACCAATGGTCTCAGCCTAGACCTCTGTTTTGTCCTTCCTTTTTTTTAAATTACTGCATATACCTCAAACTCATTTATACGTGAATTTAATATACATCCAACTATACAATTATTCTTTTGACAGCTCTACAGTATTCCACAGTGTGTGTGTGTATCTCATTTAACCAGTCCCTTGTATCAGGCAATTTCAACCAAAACAAAAATGTTGCTCTAAAAAATTCCTTGTTAGGGGATAGGGGTGTAGCTCAGTGGTAGAGTGCTTACCTTACATGCTTGAGGTCTCAGGTTTGATTCCCTAGCACCACAAAGAAAAATCCTCAGGGATGAGGATTTATGTAGCTCAGTGTTAGAATGCTTACCTCACATGCATGAGGCACTGGGTTCGATCCTCAGCACCACATAAAAATAGATAAAGATATTGTATCCAAAAAAAAAGGAGTTTAAAAAGAAAAATACTTGTTCATCTATTTAGCCTGTGCATCTCTAGCTCTAGTTGAAGTCCCTGGAAGTGGAATTAGGTTGAGCATAAGATTTTGTACTTTAGATAGATATCAGCCAGTACCCTCCACCCTGATTACAACACTTAYGTTCATCCATCACTGCATGAGGGTGTCTCTTTTTCTATGCTCACTAATAGAGTAGGTTATCAAATTTTTGTTTTTAATTTTATGTATTTTTAAAATATTTTTTAGTTATACATGAGCACAATATCTTTGTTTATTTTTATGTAGTGCTGAGGATCGAACACAATGCCTCACATATTCGAGGTAAGCACTCTGTCACTGAGTCACAATCCCAGCCCTTTATGAATTTTTAATTAATTTTTTTTTTTTTTTTTTTGCAGTGCTGGAAATAGAACCCAGGGCTTCATACATGCAAAACACTCTCTCAACCACTAGGCTACATCCCCAGCCCATATCCAATTTTTATTTTTTTTTTATATTTATTTTTTTAGTTGTAGTTGGACACAACACCTTTAGTTGTTTGTATGTGGTGCTGAGGATCAAACCCAGGGCCTTGCGCTTGCTAGGCGAGCGCGCTACCACTGAGCCACAACGCCAGCCCCTCCAATTTTTAAATTTTTGCCTATCTAGCAGATGAATCATGGTATCTCATTTGAGTTATGTTCTCATTACTTATGCATGAAATTCATCTTTCATATATTTAAAAGATTTTTGTGTTTCCTTTCTGTAAAATGTCTATGCCCTTTGCCCACTTTTTTTTTTTTTTAATGATCAGTTCAGTTCTCATAACCTGTGATACCACCATGCTTAAGGAATTTGAGAATATCTTGGTGCCTTGGTCATTAATCATCCCTTACTCTTGTCATGCAAGGCCCCTGTGCTGCTACTASCATAGGAACTATCAGGCGGGTTTCAGGTATGCGCTCAGAGGCAGTTGAGGCATTGTAAAATGGTGTGTTTCTTCCTYAACAGTTGGCAGCTGTTACAAGATTGGAACGTCTTCTTGGATATCAGATAAATACTTCAAATCTGTCCTGGGATGATTTGCTACAGTCCCTTTACTGCCTAGGAGAGGTAGAACCCAAATATCTAAGAGCCCAATATCTTCTATATTTATTACTAATTTAAAGGGACAGCTTGTTTTTTGCATATTTAAAATATTTTTACTCAGTCAGGTGTAGAGGTGAACGCTTATAATCCCAGTAGTTCAGGAGGCTGAGGCAGGAGGATCATGAGTTCAAAGCCAGCCTTAGCAAAAGTGAGGTGCTAAGCAACTCAATGAGATGTTGTCTCTGAATAAAATACAAAATAGGGCTGGGGATGTGGCTCAGTGGCCAAGTATCCAAGTACAATCCCCAGTATACATATGGCTTGGGGGTATAGCTAATGGTAGAATGTATGTTTAGTGTGTATGAGGCCCTGGGTTCAATTCCCAGCCCATACATAAATGTGTATGTGTATATATATATATATATATATATATATATATATATACATCTCCACTTAAATTAACAGAAATCACATTACATCATTACATGTTAACAGAATTATTATATTAGATGACAAATAACTATATTTTCCAAAAAGAAAATAAGAGTTGCTATTACACATGTTTACAAATCTCTTTAATGTCTGGCTTAATAGAAGACAAGCGATTCTCTACTTCTGCAAGCCATCTGCTACAGTATCACACATCATGAAACCTCTGGGAGGCACTCTATATTTTGGAAGAAAAGGTACATAATATCTTAGCAGTATTATGAACATAGTAATGGCCCCGGAAAACCCCATAAAAGAATTAGGGGACTCTTTGTGAGTTTTTTTTTTTTCCAGAACTGGGGATCAAACCCAGGGCCTGCTAAGCAAATACTATAACACTGAGCTACATCTCTAGTCCCTGTTTGTGTTTTTTAAGGAGGGGCAGAGTTGGAGGTAAAGGCAGAAGTGGAGGTGGTGGTACAGGCAGTGGGAGGTGCTAGGACCAGGACAGGAGAAGAGAAGGAAGGGTGGCAGACTAGGAAAGCTTGTTAACTTAAAAAGTGTCAAAGTCAAGGCCAGAAGTAAAACTACAACTTAGAAAATGGTGGGCAACCTGCCAATTGTCATCTAGCTGGTAGATGAGCAGACTGGATTTTGGTGACCTGGTTTTTCTAGGAAGGGGAGACACATAGAGCTAAAACAGAGTGCCAAAGGCCACCTGGGTGCTGGTGGAGAGTGGGACGGAGCCCACCTGTCACTGGTTTCACTAAATCACTAAGATCACAGGCTCCACCCCTTTGGGCCCCAGGAATTTCCATGATTGAGCCACTTTTACTTTGTATTATCATTTTCCTTGAATTGATCCACTTATTAACTGTTTTGAAAAGATTTTAATCACATTTGTTCATATCTGTTTGGTGATTATTGTTAGGCTCTGACCTAAACACTTAACATGTAGTACTTCATCTCATCCTCATGATAATACCACAATGTAAGTACTATTATTTTTTTTTTTTTAGCTGTAGAAGGACACAATTCTTTCTTTATTTTTTTAATGTGGTGCTGAGGATCTAACCCAGTGCTTCAGACATGCAAGGCAAGCACCCTACCACTGAACTAAAAACCCCAGCCCACCACAATGTAAATACTATTAACATTTTAAAGTCCAGGGCTGGGGCTGTAGCTCAGTGGCAGAGTGCTTGCCTTGCATGTAAGAGGCACTGGGTTCAATCCTCAGCACCACGTAAAAATTAACAAATAAAATAAAGGCATGCTGTCCATCTGCAGCTACAAAAAAATTTAAAAAAAAACATTTCAAAGTCCAGATGAGGAAACCAAGGCACAGAGTGGTTCTGTAAATTGCCCACCCAACTTGGAATGTGGCAATCTAGATTCAGACCCAAAATGGTCTGGCTCTAGGTCCACCTTCTTCATCTCTGTAGTGTTTCTTAGCCTAAAATATRTAAAACAAGTCATCTCAGTTGAAGCCCCCGGAAGAAACTGAGTATGATCAAACTTTTGCTGGTCATTAGCGTTGCACGTGGATAAAATCAGACTCGAGGCTCACATAATTATTCTTTCGGGTTCAGAGTACATTCATGCCACTCCAGAGTGACATGTATGGGCACAGGGGAGAGGGGACCAGAGAAAACAGACACTCAGCCCATGTTACTAAGCAGTTTAGGTTTACTGAGGAACATAATTTCAGTAATGTGCTAAGTGAGGGGTGCAGGGGGAGCCCATAAACAGACCTTCAACAGGCCTGGGCGACCGGGGAAGAGGGTAAGAGAGARCTTCCTGGAGGAGGT